ATGCAAATTATTGTTTTTTCTATTTAGACATTGGGGCATATGAATCTCAGAGCGATGGTGGAGTCCTAAGAAGTTCTTCTTTTGGATATAAATTAAATAATAATTTACTGCACATTCCTACTAATAAATGTTTTTCACCCTACTTTTTTGTGGGTGATGAGGTATTTCCCTTGCAAATAAACCATATGCGACCATTTGGAGGAAGAAACTTATCAAAAGATAAAATTATTTACAATTCTAGAATCTCCCGTGCTAGACGGTGTATTGAGAACACCTTTGGAATAATGGTGGCAAGGTTCAGAATATTCCACACAACAATATTTAAAAATCCTGAAAATTTGGATAAATTAATTAAATTAGCTGTTTGTCTTCATAATTATATAAAAAAAGATAAATCCAGAAGAAAATATGAAGTAAATGGAAAAGTTACTCTTGGTGAGTGGCGACAGGATATACCAGAAAATGGTGCCTTACGAGATGTTTCTGAATTAAGGAGAAGAATTGGTTGTCGAAATACTACGGCTACTGCTACTTACTATAGAGATTTTATTAAAAATTATGTTAACACAATTGGTGCTGTTCCTTGGCAAAATGAAATGGTATAAATATTTATTAATAAAAACATAAAAACAATTTTGTATTGATTATTTCTAAAAATCTTTTTTTTTCTATTAGTAATACCATAACTTTATCTTTGAATTCATTAGCTAGGTTGTTTGGTAACTTTGACAGTTCTTCATCTAGATACGCTGCAAATTTGCCATGTTTGGTGACATTTACTGGGGCACCAAGACTTTTAGAAATTGATTGCAAAGCTTCTGCCAAATTCATGTCAGCATCGTTCTTTCTTTTTCTCTTTGCGCCAAAAATGGGAGTGGTTACGGCAGAATATGGCTTGTCTGGTCTATTCGATGGGCCTGCTTCTTGTTCCATCTCTAAGTTGTCATCATATGGCTAAGAATCTGTTGCTTCCATGTTTGTTATCTTACTTAACGGGAAAAAAAATACCTGACGAAAACATTTCTTCATTTGAGACTTACGGGTCTATCTCAATTAATATGTCCTCTTTTATTTTTGTTTCAAAACTACAAGAAGTTTTTCTAGGGCGAATCACCTCTTCTAAAAACTGCATTAATTGGTACAGCTTTCAGTCTCTTTCAGTCTCTTTTTTTCTTGTTGCTCCTGCACCACTTCTTGTAGCTTTTTCTCTTTGTTTTTTATCCTTCCAAACTTTTCTCTCAAGAGATTTAAAATACTGTTTTGCTTCTTCCCCTACAAATATAGAACACATTATTACTGAATTTTTAAATAAAATTAAGAAAATATATTACCTGGATGGTTAAAATTTTTGCCAATTTCATTCCAAATCCTTTCTTTTTTCTTTGCATCCTTAAACATCGGTTGTCTTTTATCATAAAGAAACGGATATTCCATTACTTCTGCAATAAATTCTTCCGGAACACAAGTGTTTTCTTTTTCAGACATTATCAGTGGTTAAAATAAACTATACACGTGCAGAATGATGAAAACAATACACTTTCACAGAAAGATAGGTTATGTAAGTTTTCTTTTACTGCAATAACACTAGATGGCTGCAATAACACTAGATGGCTGCAATAACAACAATTTACTCGACCGAAATACAAACATTGACACTAGATGGATTCACACTAATTTGCACATTAATTAGGGCATTGTAAACGCTGCCGAAATACTAATTTATGTTGAAAATTTTGAGTACCTACTAATTTATGTAAATTATAGTTTCCGAAATCATAAACGAGTTTTTAAAAAATTATTTTTATTGTTTATAGCTTTACAGTAAATCAAAGAGTGTTTTAAATTGTGTAGAACAATTACTTTTATATGTTCGTATGCTGAGTCTGCAGGTTGGGTTTCAGTCAGCATATTCGTGGAAATTCTTTAACATAATTCCTCCCATGGTAGTCCTTAGACTCCGGTGAAGGCTAAACTTTGATATCAGCAACGTCGAAAGAGGACAGCTCGGATTCTTCCACGTGGAGTTGTTTGGGTTTCTTTTTTCTTAATTTCTTGGAGACCAGGAAAGTTATCAACATGAAGAACGTGAAATATAACATGATGGTTAGCGGTAGGTGCCATGTTGTGTTTGAGCTGGTATCCGGTTCCATTAATTGGAGGTTATGGGATAGTTCGGTGACTTTTAGGTGACGTAGCTTTAAGGGTGTGATTTTCGTTATTGATGATTTTTCGAATTGAACTTCGGCTTCTAATAGTAGTGGTTGACCTCTGGTACTAACGTTGAAAAATAAAAGATTGTCGTCCACATATATGTGGCAGTCATTTTCATTTTTGAACAGAAATATTCCTTGAATCTTTCTCGTTATTATATTGGTTTTACAACTGGATTTATATGAGATTTCGTTTGGAAATATTCCCAAAAATTGGTTAATTTCTGGAATGTATTCTAGTGATTTTTGTCTATTTAATTGGATATAGGTGCATTTGGAGACGTCATTGTTTTCTAGGATATCGATTTCACATGAAACGTCGATATAGTTTCTTAAATTTCTCGAGCAGAGGTATTGATTATTGATTTTGTCACAGGTATCCACCAAAGGTACTGTGTCAGACTCAGATTTTAAAATAAATTTACTTGAAGGGATAATAGTTTGAAATGATTGATTTGGAATTGGAATAAAGTAATATAAACGAAAAATGTCTGAACTAAATGATGGCAAATTAAGAAAATAGATTATTTCGGTATTGTATATTATACATTTGGTTTTTATTAAAGATCTAAAATATTTAATACTTTTATATTCTATTAAAAATGGAAATTGATTTTTATAGTAAGCTGATAATTTTAAAAGTTCATTTAATAATTCGTCATCGGATATAATACTAGGATGTGCCATATTTAAATTACAAAATAAGATTGAATTCTCAATGTCTTGAAGTATGTTAAGGATAATATTAAATAAGTTAATAAACTGATTTAATTTTTCTGTTGCGAATAAAACATCTGAATGGCGTGTTGTTTGATTAATTACATCTTCGAGAATGTTAATTTTTGAAATAATTATTTTTTCATTGTGCTCGATATCTTAAACTGTTTTATTAAATTTAAAAATAATCTCTTTATTAATGGAAAATTGATTGTTTATTTGTTGGTCAATATTATTTTCATGAAGTTTAATTAAATTAATAGAATTTCTAATTTGTTTATTATCTTGATTATCCATATTTCCGGTTATTTCTTTGATAATATAACCTAATCCGTTAACTAAACCTCTTTTTGATCTATTTAAGTTTAAAAATGGTTTTAATTTTTTGTTTATTAAATCTGTTAAAAATGAAATTGTTTTAGAATAATTTTCAGTTTCTCTTTTATAAATTGGATCCTTATTGGTTATATTTTTAAAATTGTTATATTCAACATTAAGTTACTCGGAAATTAGTTGAGATAAATCAAAATAGTGTACCAGGGAATGTGAAAAGTTTTGAATTTTGGCTTCGCCTAAGTTTATTGGTAATATACCGGGGTTGTTCATTATGTTTGTTTCTGCCATTAGGATTTGAGTTATCCATTGGAGGTAGAAGGACCTGGAAGAGGAGATTTTATCGTTTTAGTTGGTCTTTTAATGTTGTCTATGTGAAGTTTTTTGAATTTACGTCCGGTTTTTGTTTTAGAAATTTTTGGAGTAAAGGTTTTCTTAGATGTATTTACTAAAACTATATTATGTTTTTTATATTTGTTACTTTTTACAAAAACTTCTTCTGGAAGTTTGGGGGTATCTTCGCGTGTTTCATTAAGTTTATTAATTAATTTATCTTTATTTTCTGATAGCCGTTTATTGACTATTTCGTATATAATTTTTAGTTTTTCTTTATGACTTTGAACAAAATTACTTTATTTTCTAAATCAATATCTAAGGTTTCATGCATGTCAAAATTTAAAATGTTAAATGGGGTCATTTTAGTTGTGGAATGAGTAGAATTGTTATAGGCTATGGTTGAGAGAAGTGATTTTATTTGTATGGAATCATTTTTAAATTCAGGTCTATTATTAAAAATATTAAGGTGATCTAAAAATGTTAAGTGGAATTTTTCTATTAAACCATTACTGGCTGGATGATGTGGGCTACAAAAATGTATATCTACTTTGTGTAAGGTCAAGAATTCGCTGATAAGACCATTGTCGAACTCGGGTCCGTTGTCGGCTACTAAAAGTCCAGGTACTGAATGATGTGAAAAATAAATTAAAAGTTTTTCCATGATTTCTATTGCTTGAGATGTTTCTATTAAATATACTTGAGCATATTTACTGAACGCATCTATAATGGTTAAAAATTTATGGTGTTCGTATTTTAGTACGTCAATATGAACTATTTCGAATGGTTTAGTAGGTGTGGGTGTGATGTTAAATTTTAATTTTAAGGGTTTTCGGTCGTATTTTACTACTTTGCAAATTTCACAACTGTTTATGTAATTCTGAATGGATTTTTGCATGTTTGGCCAATAATATTTTAAAGATAATTTCGATAAAGTTTTGATAATACCACGATGGTTAGTTTTTCCTTCGTGATAATTTTTTATTAAGTTTATTTGATCGTCAATTTGTTCGATATCTTCCAAAATTTTGTTACATTTTTTAAATTTAAGGGTATTGTTAAAATTTTCTTTTAAAATTGAATTAAATTGTATGAATTAATCATCGTTATCAAAGTAACATGCGTACATCGTGTTAGGCACTATGTATTCTTTTACAAAATGTATGAATTCTTTTGAGTTGGCACGGGTACTTGAAATTTGAACTATAAATCTTTGTTTTTTGTTATTAAATAGTTTTAATAATCTTGTTTTATTAGGGCTATATTTAACTGAGGTAAAATGTATTTATGTATTATATAAAGATGGCGCCGAGTGAACATGACCAAATGCAAGCTCCGACTACAAAATGTAAGAAATGTGGTTTAGTGCCAGTTACAGGTCTAAAATGTGAAAAGTGCAAGAGTGTTATGCATCCTGGATGCACAAAATACTTTAGAAACATTAAGAAAATTGACGAAAACACAATACTGTGCTGTGAAAAATTGGACGAAAAAAGTGATAACGTTATAGACGACCTTGATTCCTCCTCGGAAAGTGTAACAACGGTAATAGACAATAATGTGGAAGTTGCATATTTAAAAAAGTTATTGGACGAAAAGGACAACGCAATTGGTTATCTTAAGGACAATATTGCTGCCTTAAATGAACAAATTAAAGTATTGAATTTGTTAGTTAACCTAAGAAATCCAATGACAAGTCAAATACATGAACCAAAACAAGAAAAAGCTTTGCAGAAATCTACTTCACAATCTACTCATGTACCATCAACGTATATAGATGTCACCACCAGAAATAAAAATACCAAAACTAAAATTAGTAACAAAAACAAAGTAAATAATGAAAGCACAAAAAACGAGAGTAAACAAACAAATAAAATAAGCAAAGAGCAAGTGAAAAATGCTATAAATCAAGCCTTTGAAAGTTCAAATATGGGTAAAACAATTGAACAAGTAAACAGAAGTAAATCCACTATTTATGGAACAAAAAACGTTGAAGAGATAGCTGTAGAAAAGAAGGCATGGCTTTTCATCAGTAGATTCAAAACGTCATTCTCAACCGTAGATATGGAAAACTATCTTAAAGCAATTCAACCAAATGGGTCCCACATTGTAAAACAGTTAACGAATCAGGGCTATTATAATTCTTTCAAAGTGGGTATTGACTTGAAATACAAAGAAGATTTTCTTAAAGATGAGGTATGGCCAGTGGGTATAATTATCTCAAATTTTACATTCAAAAGGAAAATGATAGAAAAAATATAACAAAAAATAGCCAAACAAATAAAAAAACAAAATATGAACTAAAATTAATGCACATAAATATTCAATCAATTAGAAACAAAACAAATGATTTGGAAGCTTTTGTTGTGGACAAAAACTTCGATATAATCTGCATCAATGAACACTGGCTAACGGAAGCTGAAACTGAATTTCTTCAAATTGGTGACTACAAAGTGGCATCTTCATTTAATAGAAAAGACTTTAAAGGAGGGGGATCCCTTATTCTAATAAAACCTTACCTAAATTTTACAATTCTGTTTAATGTTGTTAGTCTGTCTAATGAAAAAAACTGTGAAATAAGTTGCATATACATAAATGAATTTGATATTGTAATACTTAATGTATACCGATCACCCTCAGGTGATCTTTCTTTATTTGTAGATACCTTGGATCACATTCTGAACCAGCTCTCAAATAAGGATATTGTAATTACGGGAAATTTTAATGTAAGATTTGGGAGTGATAGCAGAGAGTGCACACAGTTACTTGATATGCTAGCCACACATAGTCAAAATCAAATGATAAGCCAACCTACACGTAAGAAAAACTGCATTGACAATATATTTATTAATTTTGATCCTACACTATCTGACTTTAATAAACTAGATACTAACTTATCTGATCATCTAGCACAATCTATCTCTTTCAATCCAACAAAAACGCTAAAATTAAAAAACACTTTAATTAAAAAAACATACCGCCCTATAACTTTAAAGGGAACTAATTTGTTCTATACTTTGCTTGGTGAGATATCATGGGATTTTATTAAAAATAACAACGAAAATATAAACACAAGATTCACAGACTTTTTAAATATCCTTGTAAATAATTTTGAGATTTCTTTTCCAGAAAAAAACTTTATCCTTGAGAAAAATAAATCAAGCTACAATAAAGCTTGGTTTAACAACTCACTCAGAAACATGCGAGAATATTTTCATTTACTAAATGACTTTTGTAAAGGTTTCCCAAACGATATAACATTACAAAAAGCGAAAAAAAACTTTAAAGGCATATACAAAAAAGGAAATAAAGGAAGCTAAAACAAATTATAATGATAACATTATCAAAAATTCAAAATCAAATATTAAAACTATGTGGGATATTGTAAACGAAAAAAGAAAAAGGTCTAAAACTAATGAAATCTGTGATATTTCACCAGACAAATTTAATAATTTTTTTTATAAATATAGCTAAGAATCTTATGGAAAAATTAGAGCAACCACTGTTCAATTATAACGAGGGTTTTGCGTATGATGATGCAAGATCATTTTCAATACCATTATTTTCTTTTGAACCAATTTCAAGTGTTAAAGTCAGAGAAATTATAGACTCATTAAAAAGAACAAGTAGTAGGGATATCTTTGGGCTTAATGTGGGGGTCTTAAGGGCCGTAAGGGACATCATCACTGTGCCTCTTACTAACCTCATAAATAGGGCAATAGAGCAAAATGTTTTTCCTGATTTATTAAAAGAAGCGGTTGTCATACCAATACATAAAAAAGATGATGTAAACGATTTAAACAATTACCGACCTATATCGCTACTACCAATTATATCAAAAGTGTTCGAAAAGGTCTTAGCATTGCAAATCACCGCACATTTTAAGGAAAAAGGACTGTTTTATAATGGTCAATATGGCTTTAGGGGCAAACGAAACACCTCAATGGCAATACTGGACCTTCTGGAAGATATAATTGGGGCTTTTGAGGACAAAAAATACACAATGGTGGTGTTTTGTGACCTTTCAAAGGCTTTCGATTGCGTACCCTACGACCTTCTTATTAAAAAACTAAAAATGTATAACTTCAGTAACTCTGCTACTAACTTAATACAATCTTATTTAAATAATAGATACCAGCGTGTAAAAATAAATGGAATAATGTCAAGTAAAGAAAGCATTATACATGGCGTACCCCAAGGGTCTATCCTAGGTCCACTATTATTCCTAATATTTTGCAACGATTTGCCACAATTTAATAATTTAGACAAACATATTCTATTTGCAGATGATACTACTTTAACAGTCCATGATAAAAATTTAAATATGGCAATGGAAAGGTTGAGGGGGGCGCGATCGAGGGCACAGGAATGGTTTACAGGTAATAAATTAACTCTTAATAATGAAAAAACAGTCTCCATTTTGTTCTCCCTTATGAGGAGCAGTGATGATGTCAATCATGGCCTTCAGGATTTTTCAAAATTTTTGGGTGTCTATATTGACAAAACACTAAAATTTGACAAACATATTGATGCTCTCTCAGTTAAACTGTCAAAAAACATATTTCTGCTCAGAAGCCTATCAAACTGTTTGTCCTTCGATATACTTAAAAATGTTTATTTCTCATTGTGTCACTCTCTGCTATCATACTCAATTCTTGTGTGGAGACAGGCAGGGGAATGGCAACGAATTTTTAAATTACAACGAAGGGTATAAGTGTAATATGTGGCCTAAACTACAGATATGATTGCAAAACAAAATTTATAGAACATAAAATATTAACTTTTCCAAGCTTATACATTTACGAAATCTTAAAATATACAAAACTAAACTTTAATAAATTTAACCATAACATAAACCACATATACAATACCAGAAACAAGAATGATCTTAGGACTCGGCAATTTAGATTAACCAAATCTCAAAAGAGTATAAGTTTCTTAGCACCAAAGTTCTATAATAAAATACCTAAGAAAATAACAGAGCTGGATCAGAATGTGTTCCGGGGTATCATAAAAAGTTTTTTGTTTAATAGGGCGTTTTACTCGTTCGAGGAGTTCCTGGGGTGTGAGATTTCGATATCGCATTTTGAGGGGTTCTCGGACGAGTGAGTGACCTTAATTGTATTGTCATATACCTTAATTGTATTGTTATATATCGTTGAACGTATTTGTAATTTTATTGACCTGTGTAAACATATTTTTTTGGAATGACACCAATAAAGTATTATTATTATTATTATTTGATTGGAATTTAAATTTATCGCGTCATCTGATATAGGAATGTCACAAATGGGATTTTCCGCAGACATTTCTGGATTTAAATTTAAAGAATTATTAATTTGAAAATTTACGTTACTACGCACAAGGGGTGATCTTGATCGAGAACGATTTGAGTGACTTGAATTATTCGAGTCTGAATTAGTAAAATTGGTTGAAATCTATGACCAAAACAATAGCAACATACTCTGGAGGTCCTGGTCGTTTTGCCTGGAAGTCGCTCCTTTTCTAGAAACTTTGTTTTCTTCCTTAGAACTTGCACCACAATGGAAGTCAATTCCGGACCGGTTGTTCACTGTTTTGGGAAAGTTCTTGGTTCGTTGGCACTTTAAAGTGTTGAAACACACCGATTTTTGAAAGCAAAAGTCCTACGCACAGGTTTACTATAATCGAAAATCGTTCGCACCAATCCCACAACGACTGCGCCAATTATATTTTCTGAAATCACAAACGAGTTTTTAAAAAATTATTTTTATTGTTTATAGCTTTACAGTAAATCAAAGAGTGTTTTAAATTGTGTAGAACAAGTACTTTTATATGTTCGTATGCTGAGTCTGCAGGTTGGGTTTCAGTCAGCATATTCGTGGAAATTCTTTAACATAATTTGTACTAATTATACGGCTAATTTGGAGGCTATGAATAAAGCTTTAGGGACACTAAATGGGAAGGTTCAAAAAATTTAAATTTACCACGATATTTTCATTTAATTGGAAAGAAGTTGTGTCTAGAATACTGTTAAAGGTAATTTTTTTAAATCTTTCTTCTGATAATTTTATATCGTTACTCATTTCATCAAAAGTGTTTTGTCATTCTAATGCGCTTTTCTTTGAAATTTCTACTCCCCAAGATTTTGTAAGCTCTAAAGCCTCGGATTTAATTTCTTCATAATTATTACGAAGCTCGCAGAACTCTAAACAAGCATTCTTATATAAAATAGATGGCTCGGCAATATTAATTATTTTACTTTGAAGTGATTTAAAAACATGGGTTAGACAAAAAACTAAAATAATAAATTAGGCCAATTGCTTCTGATTGTTCATTTTTATTTTTGCTTTTTAATGCAATGACATTTATGAAATTAAATCTTAGTCAGATCATTCCTTGATGACCATATTGTCGGATTTAACATTTTTAACGTAATAGAACATTACTCACAGCATCGTTAATAACTAAATTTAGATCGTTAATAACTAAATTTAGATCGTGTGCTGTACAGTGGATGAATTGGGCTTTTTTTTTAATTTAACAATTGTAGCTTGTAGTCCATTATAAGCATCGCTTATAACAGCAGCACCGTCATATCCCTGTCCTCTGCAGCGTTGAAACGTTAGACTTTTTGTTCAAATAAATTCACAATATAATTTTTTAAAACTACAGGATAAAACCCTGTAAAAGATTCTTTACATTCAACTTAAATTATTTCATTTTTTTTAGTTTTTCTTTAGAACAACATATCGGAATATTACTCTTAACTGCTCTATTTTAGAAATATCTTGTGTAGTGTCTAAAATTAACGAAAAAAAGGCGCGCTACGTATTTCGTCAAAAAAATTATTTTCAACATGGACTCCCAACCTGTTTAAAAAAAACTCTTCCCTGGCGCTGTGGGGCCTTGCTCCCCAAGCCCACCCGGTAGCTACACCACTGGGAGCAACCTTTGTTTTCGAACATAAAATGCGCACATTTACTGCTTACTGAATTTGAACCGCTTAATGATCGTATATAAATACAAGGACCATAGGCGTCCTGACTGGCGTCTGAAAAGTAGTGAAGTTCTAATACGTGAGAGTTTGCAGTAATTGCATGGCGAGGAATAACAATGGAGTTAATGCTGCTTAAAGTTTCGCATAATCTTAACCATTTAACCAAGTGCTGGGGAAGGGACTCATCCAGAGTGTGATTTTTAGTACAATTGTACTTTTATAGTACAAAAAAATAGCTCTAGTACGTCAGCACCTCTTGGGCAATTCTAGAATAATTTTTAAA